CATTTTAAAACGGAACAACTTATCATTGGTGTATACGTTATCGTTCAGTATTTTATATTGGAACTCTGATTTTTGTTTCTACTGTGACGGTAAACGGTAAAGAATAGATTTTTTCCAATCAACCACAAGATGGGGATATTTGTTTTTCATCTTTTTGGCACAGGGAGGAGTTTGCTGTCGTGAAAATTTTCTTTTGTTTTGTTTTTAATTCTTTTCTGTTGGATCGCACATCCTGGACAGTGTACATTTGACCATTTGATTGACATTTATCACGTGATTTTGTATATGTATGATTCATTTTTTTCGANCTTTTGTTTTGTTTTTAATTCTTTTCTGTTGGATCGCACATCCTGGACAGTGTACATTTGACCATTTGATTGACATTTATCACGTGATTTTGTATATGTATGATTCATTTTTTTCGACAGACATTTCAGAGTAAGAATAAATTCGAAGTCAAACGATATTTGCGATGTTTTATTCACGATATTTGCTTTTTAGTTTTAAATTTGTTCTACAGTAACTTTGATGTTACTTTGGACAAATCGATTTCAGTTTCATCCAATTCAATATATATTTTATCTCCGAGTCAGTGTTGTTGTGATATCAATTATTTGCATTAGGAAACAAATGTAACAATAGATCTCGGCCGAGTAAGCCAGAAGGAAAATATAATCTAGTAGTACAGAAGTAATCACTTTGCCACCATAAATATGTCAATGCAGACGACGTAGAGAAGAGATCACACCACCTGGACTTTGAATCCTTAGTTTAAATCATCGATAAAAGTTAAAAATATTTCTCACTCTTTGAGGGAGTTGTTGAAAAGTGCCCAAAATTTGGTCGAAAGTGAACCTCTCAGGGCCCCCTAAGGGGCTGATATCCAGAACTCGCATGGAAAACGATCAATGAAGCTAAATCTGCTAAAACTTTGGCATTTTGCTCAAGTCTGTATAAGGACTTTGGATTTTTAGGAAAATCGGCCAACCCCCATTTCCAAGTCTGCCCCGCTTTCTCAGGCAGATACACTCAAGATGAACGCCTGTCTCGCGTATTATTTCACACAAAGCCATCTTTGAGCAGTCCGGAAAATTTGACAGCTGGTTTAAATGGTTATTACTTTTTCAATCGACAACATTCGGTAATGCATCAGTCAATTCCAGCAGTGCCCATCCCCC